TGACATCTGGAAACAATTTAGATATCTATCAATAGTAGAATGGATAAATTATATTTATACAATGGAATCCTATAGAAATGAAAAAGAAAGAAGAACTCTATAGGTTCTCTCAATAATATGGACAAATCTCATAAACACAATGCTAAGTAAAAGAAGAAAATGTTAGTGAATAAAAACTGCATGATTCCATTTATATAAACTTTGCAAGTTAGGCAAAATTAATCTATGCAGTTAGAAGACAGATTAATAGTTACTTTTGGAAAGGGCAGACATATTTGTGATTGGAAAGCGAGTGTCTTCTGGGATGGCTAAGTGAAAGTGATATGGTATGTTCAATTTGTGACCATTTGCTTAGGATTTGTGCACCTTTCTATATGTATGCCATGTTGTTGTTGTTTTCTGTCTTAGAGTCAGTCCCCAACTCACAGCAGACCCTACGCACAACAGAACAAAATGCTGCCAGGTCCTGCGCCATCCCAATGGTTGGCTGTAAGTCACACCATTGTGTGGGGTTTTCAATAGCTCATTTTTGGAAGTAGATTACCAGGTCTTTCTTACTAGTCTGTCTCAGGGTGAAAGCTCTGCTGAAACCTGTTCAGCATCATAGCAACATGCAAACTTCCACTGACAGATGGGTGGTGGCTGCACATGAGATGAACTGACCAGGTCTCCTGCAGTGAAGGTGAGACTTCTACCACTGAAGCACCAATGCCTCAAATGTACGCCATACTTAAGTTTAAAAAAAGGAAAAAGTCTAACAGTGAATGGAAGAATTTGAGATAGCAAGTAGAGACAATTCTTTCAAGAAGTTTTATCATAAAAGGGAGCAGAGAAATGGCAGTAGCGGAAGGGTTAGTTTTATAATGGGAGAAATGACTGTGTTTCAGAAACTTCACTTATTCATGTTTGCCCTTAATGAGAAACACCTGTCCTTTTACTTAATAGTTTTTCTTTGAGTTACTCATTTTTAACTTAAATGTATTTAAAAAGCAAAGTTCCTATTAACACTATAAGTATCACCTGCCATAAACAGAAGTGACTATAAAAACACAATGAAAACAAAATTCATTAAATTAACATAATTAAAAATTGAAAAGCAATTAAATACAAATAAAGATCAGTCTAATTGATCTACAAAAATGAGCACCCCAGAGTAAGTTCCTCAATCAGAAAACTGGAGCTGTTTTAAGAGCAGTCAGAAATAAAGGGTATTCTGTTCCATGACTATGTAACAATCACCACCACTCCTAACATGTCCATCATAATCTTTATCTTCATACTATATGCATTCTGTTTTTCACACTTATCCATACTGAGTTCAACAAAGGGGCCAAATGAAAACACAGCCTCAACAACCTGACTGACAAAAGGATGCCGAGTTGCCCAGGACTGGAGGTCACTGCCAGTTCTGTCTCCCTGGCTTGGAGAGAAGTTGGGCTCTGAGTGGAGAAAGAGCTTTCCCCATAGCTGATACGAGATGTTGTTCACTGAAGAGAACCCCTATTCCCACATCTCTTCTTGGAAAGTGCTGGTGGGTGCCTCAGTGTGTGGGGAGCAGGTGCTGCTGAACTGTGACACGAGCAGCTCCTCGAGAAACCAGACAAAGGTAGGGAAATCCCAGAGGGGCCCCTGGGGATCACTAAGTCCTCATGCCCACAATCATCTCCCTTGTCCTGCACTTTAGAAAAACACCACTCCATAATAATGAAGACAATTATTTTCCAAAGTAAAAATCACGATACAGTCTTTCAATAACACAGAATATTTACAATCAGAGCTGCCCAGGAAGTTCGGAATGGCCGTGGTGCTATACCTCAGGCATGCATTTATTTGTCCACACATTGACATTTTTGATCAACACTAGTGCTAGACACCAGGAATATAAAAATCCGTAGACATAATCCCTGTCCTCGAGAAAGAGTTGCCAGATAAAAATACAGGACATCCAGATAAATTTGAATTTCAGATTCTTTTTTAGTATAAGTTATGTCCCAAATATTACATTTAATATACTTCTAATTACCTGTTTAGTTTTTTTTTTTAACCTGAAATTCAAATTTAACTGGGTGTCCTGTATTTTTATTTGCTACTTCTGGCAACCTCAGCTTAAGGAGACCATAGATTACTTTGGGACAAAGTCAAGTAGAATAGGGAGAGTATGAGAAGTGTCAGGGCAAAGAAGGTGGCTGAGGGTGGTTGGGTGCACATGGAAGAAATATACAACTCAGGGAAGGCTTCTGGGAGCTGGTAACGCTGAAGCTGAATCTTAAATTAAGAATTTATGGGCTGTACCACTCATTTCAGAATTTAATAACACACCACCATGCATTGTGATTTAAGTTTTTGATGAATCCATGTTTGTGTTCCCAACTAGATCCTAGCTGCTTAAGGGTAGGGACCATCTCTCTTTGCTTCCCCCCACCACCTAGCACTGACAGGCACATCTAAGGTATGTAGTAAATTACTGCATAAATTGATTTGAATGGTATCCTCCCAAACAGTAAAAATATTCTGTTCAGTGAAATAGTTTTTAATTGGTTATTTATTTATTTATTTATTTTAGTTCAAGTCTTCAAACACTGCAGCCAGTTCTTGGGACCCTGGAGTCTTGAGAATTTCCCAGTCTGGGACCCTGGGAGCCAAATCCATATTAAAGATATGGGTTGTTTGCAATGCAGTAATTTCTTATATTAAGTATCATGATAGATTCAATACGGCTGGAATGGGTGCCTTTTTGGTGTTTGGGTTTCTTCCTAAGACCCTCATGTGTGGCATATTCTTGGTTGGATCTGACGCCTTGAAGCAGTTACTACAGCTATTTCGTCCAATGATTGTTAAGAACATCTCTCTACAAACACATCCTACTCATGTATAACCAAAACCAACCAGTAGCCCTCCTGGGTCAGGGTAGAACTGTTCCATAGGGCTTTTGTGACTGTGACCTTCAGAAGCAGATCACAAGGCCTATCTCTTGAGGCACCTCTGGGTGGGTTCTAACCACCAACCTTTCGATTAATAGCCCAGTAGTTAACTGTTTGCACCACTGAGGGACTCCTCCTCATTTTTAAGTCCCTCTTTAACCTATTGCTGTTTGTCACTGTCCCCTAGAGTTTGCTCCAAGCTGGTCCAGGGGGAGGTTTACCCTAGGTATTGGAAGTGGAAGGGAAGGTAACTCTTCTGGCCTCCACTCCTAGCCTCTGCTCGAAAGACCAGAACCGAGAGGAGGCACACCTGCTCCCCCTGAGCCCCTTTCCCCAGACCGGCACCTGCTCAACAATCCTACGTTAACATGTCGGGATGATGGTACGATCATGAAAAAACTTAAGGGAAGAATAAGAGAAACACGTACAGAAGATAGTCAAATGAAAACATTTTTTTTAAATGTGTCTACTTCTTCAACTCCTTTAACTTAGTGTGAATTATCATGCCTGCCGATCTCTGGATTCAAAAAATACTTTGTTTGGCCTAACTAAGGTTCTTCCCACACTACAATATTCCTAAGAGGCCAGCAACCAGGTCTGGGGTGTTACGGGGTCTGGAAGCGTAGCCAAGTGGCCACCGAAGTCCAAAATGTCTTTAAAGTCTGTGTACCACAACTTATCCATAACACACATTTTCATGATTGTTTGGTTATACAAGTTTTCTCGGACTTACCAGTTAAATTATTTATAAATCTACCCACCCCCTAAGTCTCCAGGGAGATTCAAAGGAATACTGGAAGTCAAGCTCTTTTATCTTCTTTTTCCCCGAAATTTCAACATAAAACACTCAGCGACGCTCTTTAAACTTCAGCCCCCCGGAACGGAGACCGCGGTCAGGAAAGAACTACATTTCCCAGAAGCCCCGAGGAGAGCAAAACTCCCAACTTCCCGAGCATCTTTCCTTGTCTGCACCTTCAAAGGGTCGCACGAGGCTCGGGCAGGCGACAGCGTCCGGGGGCAGAGAGCGCCTGCAGCCGACACCTCCAGTGAGTTGGTGGGCTCGGGCACCAAAGGAGCAAATTGGCCCCATCGGAGGCGGAGCCGGCGCCTCAGGCTGCGTGCTGACGCCACTTCCGCTGCGGGGCGGGGCGGGCCTGTCCCGCGCAAATTGAAAAGCCGGCCCCTTGGCGCTCGCTTGCAGCTTGGCTCCTTGTGTTTCGCGCCGCTTGTCTCCGGTTCTGTGGCCGAAGTGAGTGAGGGGCGTTGGGCAGCGGGTATTGGTGCTCACACCAGGCTGTCCTCGGGCGGGCGGTTAGAGCCCTTTCCGGAGAGTGGGGTGAGGGAGTTGTGCGGGAACCCTGGGGCTGGGAACTGGGTTCCTGCCTGTCCCCGCAAGGATCAACCTGAGAGTCTCCCCTCTCCCTCCTCTTGGGATTCAGGGTCTCTTCGGAGGGGAAGAGAGAGCTGACATGGTCTTCCTGAACCTACAGCAAAGCCCTTTACGCATGGGACTGGGGCGCTGCCTGCGTGCAGTATGTGAGGTGGGAGAGTGTTTCGTTCCCGGGAAACGTGTCTGGCTGGGCTAGGGCTGCGATTCAGTGACCCGAGGGAGGGGCCTCACTCAGTCCATGCATTTGACCGGGGGGAGCAGAGACCAGAGGTATAGGACTTCTCTGTTGAAGCTGGCAGTCAAGTTTTTACCTGCAATCTCCCAACTTTTAAACGTTGACAAGTGAATATTTCTCCTTAATATTGTGCAGGCCAAACGAAACGTGTCGTCAGGAATGGATTTGCAAGCCACTCCTGAACATCCCTGCAAGACAGAGAAGTAAAGCAGAGAAGTTGCTGCTGTTGGGAGCCTTGAGATGATATGTGCTCTCAGTCGTTCTTACTATGCTAAAGAGAAAATATTTGTTCGAGGACATTTACCTAGCCTAGAAGAAACGTACAAGTTTCACGAAATGTATATTATGTCAGTTTTCCTTAGAGTGAAAGAAAGCTCTATGTAAAGACATTGACAAGTGGGAGACTAATCGTTTTCCTCAAGCTGGGGCTTGATGACCACCTGCATCAAATGACCTCTTGTGTCTAAAATTCAAAATCCCTGGGCTCACTCCTGTAGCTGGAAGCGGAGTTGAGATTCTGTGAACTTCTACAAGTTGAGAATTGCTGACTAGAGCATCACAGCTCTGATAAGCTATCAACAGGGTAAGACTGATTAATGATCCTGTACTTTTTTTTGCTGGTCCTTCCAAACCTGATGTCTAGTGGGAGAAATCTGTTATGAAATGCAATTCCCATTGCTGCCTTTCACTTTTTATTGGGGGGGGGGGGTTAATTAGGAAGAGACCATGGCCGCTCCAGAATTTCTGTATACGAAGGGCTTAGGTGCAGCAACTTGGATGGAAAGGAATGCAGAGTTAAAGGATTTGTCTTGAAGCTGTATTTGCACAGCAGGCACACCTTTACCTTTTCTTTTCTTTGGGGTGACTTTCAGAGAGTGGCACCACCAGTGCTTATTAGCAGAATGTTCATTGCTTGGAATAATGCATTCTGATGGCAGTGTATTTTAGTCCTAAAAAAGTACAGATCCAGTTCTATAAATTTGTTTACTTTGCAGTTGAAATGCCTACCTTCCTACCAACTGTTTTGAATTTCCACTCCTATGCTAATTTGTGTGTTGGCTCTTATAATGCCTGTGTAGAGGCAATGTGATACCTTAGCATACCTAATTTTGTGGATTTTAACAATGCCTTTTTGGAGAAAGGAGAAACTCATACTTTCTGGGCACCTTCCATGTGCCTAGCACTGCATTATGTATAGGCTTGGAGCATACACGTTAATGATTCCAAATGGGAAAGCACTTTGGAGAGAATAAACATTGAGCAACCATCAAGTGGCCTTAGAGGTAGTGTTGATGATTAATGTAAATATTATCGACTGTAGGAATTGTTTGACAGGGAGCCAAAACCAAACCCCTTGCCATGGAGTCAGTTCTGATTCATAGCAACCCTGTAGGACAGAGTAGAACTGCCTCATAGGGTTTCTAAGGAGAGGCTGATGGATTCGAACTGCCGACCTTTTGGTTAGCAGTTGATCCCTGACCGGGAGGAGCCCAGATAAAATTAAAGAGCAGTGATTCTCAAATATCTAAACAATAACGGTTTCTATATCAGTTTCCAAGCTCTTTGTCTTTATTTTTCTAAAACTTTTTGGTAAATATATTTTGCTTTACATATTTCTGTTTTCTTTTTATATCGTGTAGTTAACTTGGCACTATGGGGATACAAGGATTACTCCAGTTTATCAAAGAAGCTTCTGAACCCATCCACGTGAGGAAGTATAAAGGGCAGGTAGTAGCTGTGGATACATATTGCTGGCTTCACAAAGGAGCTATTCCTTGTGCTGAAAAACTAGCCAAAGGTGAACCTACTGATAAGTAAGTGTGAACCTTATTATTAATTCTTTACCAATTAAGAATTATAGTTACAAATACCTTTTTTTCAGAAAGAGATAATTTTCATTCAATGCCAGGATTTATCGAGAAGTGAGAGTGTGTGATTTGGAACATTGTCTAATCACAGATGACTCCTTTCTGATATCAACCTCTTTTCCATTCTTTGTAATAAGCCAAAGGATCAGAACACCTATGGACAAAGACCAAAGATTTTTAACAGTACTCTGAAAATCCATGGTGATTTCCGACTTACACTTTCTTGGGTATAGACAACCCACTGTAAGCCCTGTTAGCAAAACGAGGCAGTTACTTCAAAGGGACAAAGTGTTCTAACTCCTTTTTACTTCACTTGAGGCCAAAAATGGTGGGCCATATTGACATCTGGTCTTAACTCTGTTACCTCATTTGAAGCAGGTTCAATGGACTAATGTTCTCTTTATTTTTTAAATACAAACATTAGAAAAACAATAAAGCATAATTTCTAGACAGATATTTTCCGCAGGCATTTGGCCGATATATGTTTTCTTCCCTTGTTGTAATATAAAAGAAAAGCTCAGAGATCTTAATGTGACTTCCTGAAGCACAACACACAATAAGTAAAATTTGGTAATCCTGTTTGTTTCCTAGAATAAAGGGGAAAAGGTCCTTATTGTATGGTGGGTGTTTGGGGGCTTAAGTCTATCGAGTTAATTGGACCAAAGGTCTCTCTGAGCCGTGTGTGGGATCTGAAGGAGCGTGGGTACTTCTGCCACTCCATTGGCTGATACAAGCTTTTCAAAGCAATCTCTTTTCTGTCACTAATTTTACAACAGTTGCAACTGTGGTTAAAGACTGCAAGTTTTTCTTTGCTACCTTCAGTGTTTCTTTGAATATTTCTTTATGGGGGAAATTTTTTTTGTAATTCTTGAGGATTCTGAGAACTTTGACCAATTGGAAGAGTTGCCAAAAGTACAGGAACAATATCTTTTATTGTTAGGGATATAAGAGATGAACTCTACAGGTCCGATCATGCAGAAGGCGCTCATTAAATGTTTATTAAACTAAAAAGTTTCAAGACTTTCAGTAAAGTATTCATTGTGTATTTTTTTCCCCCACTGCAACAAAGTCACATTTGATAGAATTCAATGTGATTTTCCTTTTCTTCTCCAACTTTGGGTAGGGGTACTAGCCAGAAAGGGTTATCACCTCAGGAAATTTGGATAAGCTATTAAACTTCTGTGACCATTACAAAGAATGAGGTATATCTATGTGTGCTGGCCTAGAGGCAGGGACGGAGCCTGCAATAAGCAAGGTACGCACGGGCTTACTTACTAATCTTTAGTGCACGATTTCACCTGTTTTTCACCACAGTGAAGGTGAAGCACAAGTAAGCCCTTGCGTACCTTGCTTACTGGTTAATCCGCCCCTGCCTAGAAGGATGTGGGGGAATATATACAGTGAGGGCACCAGGTGTCTGATGTTTGTATTCTATCTAGATTTAAAAAAGGAACTATCCTTAGAATTTACTATAATTCAATAGTTGCCCCTCCTAATTTTTGCTTCATACTTAATTAGCAGGTCCTGATCATTGTTCTATAGACCAGTGCAGGTCTCTTGTCAGAAGTCTACCACAAACAGAAAAAAAGGACAATATAATGAGTTTTTCATTAAGATGAATATATTTGATTTAAAAGGTTATCTTTTAAGATTGTGTCTTTATGTTTACTTTTTAAGTTAAAATGTCCTTATAAAATAATTAAGTTGTAAATGTAGCTGGTTTGGTAATTGGCCTTGCCAGAATAAAAACTAAATGCAGAATGTGATCCCTGACTGGATCCTGGACTGGGAAAAATAGCAGCAGTGATGTGCTTGGCCAGCTCTTCCAGGCTCACTATACACCACCTCTTCCCAACATAGCATTCAATGACGCCACATCGGCAGCTTACCTGCCACTGTGGAGTATTTATGTCAGGGAAATTGACAAATGCTGCAAATCAGGCACCCTCCCCTCCAACTGATTATCAAATATTTACCAACACACTGCTGATTTTAAGAAACATTATTAGGACAATTGGACAAATTTTAATATAGACTGTGTATAAGATAATATTTCTGTATCACTGTTAAATTTCTTGGGTGTGATAATGGTAGTGTGGTTATGTTGGAGGAATCAGGTGTTAGTATAGTATTCTTTCAACTTTTCAGTAGGTTTAAAATTTTTTTTAATAAGAAACTTGTGGGAAAAAGCAGTTTTTGGAACCACAAAATGTCACAACTGGAAGGGATATCAAAGCACTTCAGTTTACAGATAGGGCTTGGAGGGTCGAGTAACTCAGCCAGTATCACATAACCCATAAGTGTTTGAGGCAGGATTTGAACTCAGGTCTGTCACTCTAAATTAGAGTTTCCATTTCCTAAAAACATTTGCTTGAAAAAAAAAAGTTCTTTTAAACCCTTCTCTTTTCATAATACTCTCGTCTTTTTTTTTTTTTTTTTTTTTTTTTTTAGTAAGTGAAATATCCTTATTTTTAAAACACTACGTGGGCTAAACAAAATGCTTCTAATTTACCAACTAATTTTCTATCCCAAAGATTTTTATTTTACAGAAAAAATTGGGGTTGTCCTCTTAAGTTGTAAAGTCATTGTTATCACTAATATGTCACTTTAAAGAGATTTTTTTTTTTCTCTCTTTTCTTCATTGTGGTGAAAACATATACACCAAAACATCCACCAACACAGCTGCCACATGTACAACTCAAAGACATTGGTTACATTTTTCAGGTTGTACTACCGTTATCACTATCCTTATCTAAAACAGTCTACCACTATTAACATAAATTCAATGCCTCCCCAACAAAAACTCCCTCTTTCCCCCTCCCTTCTGCCCTTGGTAACCATTAATAATTTTTGGTTTCTATATATTTGTTTATTTCATTGAAGTGAGATCATCCAGTATGTATCCTTTTGTGACTGACTTATTTTGCTCAGCCTGATGTTTTCAAGGTTTATCCATGTTGTGGCATGCATCAGAACTTCATTTCTCTTTATGGCTGCATAATATTCCATTGTATGTATGTACCACATTTTGTTTACCCATTCAACTGGATATGTTGGTCGTTTCCCCCTTTTGGCTATTGTAAATAGTGCTGCAGTAAACATTGGTGTGCAGGTTTCTATTTGCAATCCAGCCTTCACTTCTGGGTAAATGAACCAGAATCGACTCAATGGCGCACAACACCACCACCTAGAGTTGGGATTGCTACATCATATGGCAGTTCTATGTTCAACTTTTTGAGGAACTACCAAACTGTTTTCCACAGTGCATGCACCATTTTCCGTTCCCACCAGCGATGGATGAGGTTTCCAGTTTCTCGACAATCTCACCAACACTTGTTGTTTTCCATCATCTGGTTTTAAAAAGAGCAAAAGTAGTGTTACCTTCAGAAATGCAAACCACTTAAATGGACTTTTCTCTTTTCACAGGTATGTAGGATTTTGTATGAAATTTGTAAATATGTTACTGTCTCATGGGATCAAGCCTGTTCTTGTATTTGATGGATGTACTTTACCTTCTAAAAAGGAAGTGGAAAAGTCTAGAAGAGAGTAAGTTTATTCTCTAGTCAATCTCTTTAATTGTATTAAGGTCAGATACTGTGGCCTGTGTGATAAAGTTTTTAATTTTAATTTGTTGAGGCTTCGTTTATAGCCTAGTATACAAAAATTTTTCCTTAAATGTTCTATACGAAAAGAATGTCTGTTCTCCAATTATGGAGTGGAATGTTTTATGTCTGTCTAGTAAATCAAGCTTATTGATTGTAGTGTACAAATCTATCTCCTTACAGTTTTGTTGGGCTTTTTTTGGTTTTCTGTGTGTGTCCACTTAATCTGTCAGTTATTAAGAGAAGTATGTTAAAATCTCACTATGGGCTGTGAATTTATTGATCACCTTGTAGTTCTGTCCATTTTCTGTTTTGTTATTTTGAAGCTATTTTAGGTGCATTCAAGTTCAGAATTTCTAATATCTTTTTGGTAACTTGAAACGATTAATATGTAGTAACTCTCATCTCTAGTAATGCTTTTTTCCTTTAAAGCCTTTTCTCTCTGATATTAGTATAGCCACACGACTTTCTTTTGTATGTTCCTGATACATCATTTGTATGTGTTTACTTTCAGCTTACTGTGTCATTTTAGGTATGTCTCTTGTAAAGAACATATAGCTGGGTTTTGTTTTGTTTTTAAATCCAGTCTATCAATCTTTGCTATTTTTATCTTTTAAATGGAGAATTTTATCCCCTTTACATTGGTAACTAATATATTTAGATCCGTTGGTTTCTCTTATATTTCATATTTGTCCACTTTTCTGTTTCTTTTTTTTTTATAACCTCTACCTTTTTTAACTTCTGGATTGATTATTTTTCCTGTCCTTATTCTAGTCTCTCTTATTCATAGTTGGAAAGTGATAAATACTGTATGTCTGCTCTTTCAGTGATTATCTTAGAAATTTTATCACCCATATTTATATCGACAGATCTAATAATTTTACATGAGGACTTGAAAAGAATTTCTCTATTTTAATGAAGTAACTGTCCTGCCACATTTCATCTATTCTTATTTTTCCTGTGTATTAGCTTTGAGGTCCAGGAGTCATCAAGTTGTGCTGGGAAGACCTCTGGGCTTGCTTGTCAAAAGGTAGCATGAGTTATACCCAAATAGAAATAAGCGTCACTGAGGAAGAGGTTTGTAACAGATGTTCCTTGCCTAGTTTTGCCCTTGCTGGGCCTAGAATTAAGTTAGAGAAGGTTTTTTTAGGTCTAGGTTTTTCATTCAAACTATATTTAGAAAGCTCTGATTTTTAAAGTCAGAACTTTATCAAAGGATTACTGAGAATATCTGGGCCCGTGTTCAAATGTGAACAATATACAGTTTACTAAGCATACTTTTAATAAAAATTAGTTCTGAGATTGGTGTTTAAGGGACTGGTGAAAACCCTAAAGCAATGTGCTGAAGGGACTAGTCCAAACCTTATCTCACCTGGGTGTCCCCCACCCCATACTCCTAACTGTAGTCACAGGTGGTGTTATTAGTCACTGTTGAGTCAGCTCTGACTCATGGCAACCCCATGTACAACAGAAAAAAACTCCGGCCAGTCCTGCGCCATCTTCATGATTGTTGTATGCTCAAATCTGTTGTTGTGGCCACTGTATTTTCAGTGCTTTCGCACCTACAGGAAACCCTGGTGGAGTAGTGGTTAAGAGCTACGGCTCCTAACCCAAAGGTCAGCAGTTCGAATCCACCAGGCACTCCTTGGAAACCCTATGGGGCCGTTCTCCTGTGTCCTATAGGGTCAGTATGAGTTGGAATCGACTCGACAGCAACAGGTTTGATTTTTTTGGTTCCCACCTAGGGGTCTCAACTTCCAGTACTATATCAGACAGCATTCTGTTGTGATCCATAGGATTTCCATTGGCTAATTTTGGAAGTAGGTCACCAGCCTTTCTTCCTAGCCTGTCTTAGCCTAGAAGCTCCTCTGAAACCTGTCCCCTGTGCGTAACCCTGCTGGTATTTGAAATACCAATGGCATAGCTTCCAGCATCGTAGCAATATGCAAGTAACACAGTATGACATACTGACAGTCAGGTGGTAATAATCACAGGTGGTTGTTAATATTCTTTGTTAGACTCAGGAATGGTTGAAAGATATTTCGGCTCTGACCTGAGTGCTCTTTCTGTCTTATTTCTATAGGATCAGCATTCTCTGTGTCACTGTGGCAGTAGGAGACTGGTCTAAAAATGGATTTCTCATTCCCAATATTATAAAAGTTCCTGTGAAACAGAATGAAATATTTTCAGGCAACAATAGCCCAGGAGGTTATTATGCCCAGTATTCTGTATACTACTAAAGAAACTTGATTCCTCTGGTGGAATCAAATGCATATCTCAGGAGAGTATATAACGTTGAGAACATTAATTTTCTCTTCTAAACTTCAGTTTCTTCATCCATAAAATGTGTGTAATAATGCTAATATTCAACTTTTATTGGGGGAGTGGGGAGGATGAACATCAGAGAGAATAGTATGTACGGAAGTAATTTATCCAACTGTAAAATCTTAATAAATAATAAAGTAGTGGTATTATACTGCTATTGCTTTCCAATGACTGGGCTTAATTAAATAAGAAACTAAACACCTGATTGTAAATTCATGAGCACAGGTATTTTTATTCATCCACGTCATGCTTACACAGTGCTTGCATACAGACTAGATGCTAAACCTTTGCTGGATTGCATGCATAAATACTTAGTTTATTTAAACTAATAATACATTAGTCCATGCAAAGCAGCTCCTCATTAAAATGGTTCATTAAAGTGTTATCTAGCAGAAGAATATATTTTATTCCCTGAGGAATATGGAAAACACTAGTTATTTGTGGAATACCTGCTCTGGCAGAACACGCCTGCGAATGTTAGAAAGTGTTGAAATAGAAGAAGACTGAATCTCAAAGTGCTTACAAGCTTGTGGTATATGCCAAATTAATAAGTAATCATAGTTTCTTTAATTTTTTTATCATATGTGAAAACAGATCTAGAAGATGACACAAAGCAAATATATAGCTTAGTGAATTAGAACATTCACACTGTTAAAACCACCCCATCCCCAGTCAAGAAATAGAACTTTCCCAGTCACCCCAAAAGCCTCTCCAGTGTGCCTTGACCCAACTGACATCCTCCTTCCCTCCAAAAGTCACCACTATCCAAACTTTTATAGCAGTCGCTTCCTTGCATTTTATAGTTATATCACCCAAGTGTGTGTGCCTAGACATTATAAGTCACTCATCTTTGGTCTCTGGCAAGACTATAGGTAGTGTTGAGATTTTTGTTTTTTGTTTTTCGTTAGGAGGTACAAAAAGTCTGGTATTGTCTCTCTGAGATTTTATAGCTATTGGTGCTCATTGTCTAAATCCATTAATTCACTGGGGGGTTACACATGGTGACATATTCTAATCCTGTTATTTCTCTTTCATTTATTAGCTGAAATACTTTTATAAAGAGACACTTCCTCTCATCTACTATTTGGTCACACAGTGGTACAAATCATCTAAGAAATGATACAGTTTCTGTAGGAAAGATTGCATAAATGCTTATATTTTTCCCTTTAATAGTTTTTAAGGTAATGGATTGGTTCCCTATCGTCCTCTAAAGATGACCAGTTTAAACGTATTTGAAGGGTTTCAGTCCCTTTTTGTTATTATCCTTATGAAGTTCAGATTAACCCATTTTGGCCATGGGAATGTGTTTGCCCCCCTCCCTCTCCAGTAGTTTTCAATCGTTTCCTTGGTATCTTGTATGACGAGATGTTCCAAGGCTCATCTTGTATGTTTCCTGCCCCAGATCTGGCATCAGCTGCTTCTCTAAGAAGCCCTGGTTTCTTTTAGTAGGGAATGGTATTTTAATACCATGCAGTACTTGGTGCCTACAATCTGTATACCAAAGATGCTTATTTCCATGATCTAGGCCTTTTCAGAAGGAACCCTGATGACATAGTGGTTCAGTGCATGGCTGCTAACTGAAAGGTTGGTGGTTTGAACCCATCAGCCACTCTGTGGGACAAAGATGTGGCAGTCTGCTCCTGTAAAGATTACAGCCTTGGAAATACTATGGGGCAGTTCTACTCTGTCCTACAGGGTCACTATGAGTCAGAATTGACTCCATGGCAACAGGTGATGGGTCAAGGCCCTTTCAGTAGGCAGAATGAGGAAATGTGTGTATATATGTGTATGTGCATTTACTTAAAGATAAAAACCTCATGAGCTCACATTGATGCTTCCAGTTCAGATTCAGGACTACAAAGTTTTTTTTACTTAACCCCTTCTATATTGCACCTATTTCTCCTTCCATACTAAGAGTCCTGGTTCTCAAGGGTATGGGGGGATGATAAAAGTAGAATATCCTATAATTTTACTCATTTATTTTATCCCACAGTCTACTCACAATAGTCTCAGAATAAAATACTAGTACTACCACTACCAATATGATTATTGAAAACAGTTAAAATTTCTTTGTTTTTACATACGCTCTGTCCCAATTTTAAGAACCAAACCAAAACCCACTGCCGTCAAGTCGATTCTGGCTAATAGCAACTCCATAGGGTTCCCAAGGCTATAAATCTGTATAAAAGCAGACTGCCACATCTTTCTCCCACGGAGCCACTGGTGTTTTTGAACCGACGACCTTTCGGTTAGCAGTTGATTGCTTTAACCACTGTGCCACCAGGGCATCTTCATTTTAAGAACAGTGATACTATATTGTCAGAGCATGTAGCCATTACTCTCTCCCCGTTTAACCCTTATTTAGTCTTGATTCTACAAATTACTATATATTTAATTGTATTGCCAGTCCTTATGCCAGTGTCTCATGTTATTTAGGTTTTTCTGAAATTTATTCTCTAGAAGATTCCAGAGGAAGGACTCCCAAAAACAATATTCCTCAAGTTCTTTGTATGTTGATAAGTTTGTAGCTTTTATACTATAAAGTTAGTTTGGATGGTGTAAAAAGCCTTTGCTCATATTGTCTTTCCTTGAGGATCTTAGTTATTCTGTTTTCTTTTGACATAAACATTGCTGTGAAGATGTGATGATAATTTAATTTCTTTTATATCATATCTCACTTGTTCTTTTTGCTGAGAAGCCTGAAGGATCTGGGTCAATATTCTCCAGGATATATTTTCAAATGAATCACAGTTTTTATTTTAGGAAAATTTCTTGAATTAATAGTTTTATTATGGTTTCTTGAGTCAGCCTCTTTAATTTTCTCCCCCTTGCAGAAGACGCCAAGCCAATCTTCTTAAGGGAAAACAGCTTCTTCGTGAGGGTAAAGTCTCAGAAGCCAGAGAATGTTTTACCCGCTCAATCAATATCACACATGCGATGGCCCACAAAGTAATTAAAGTAAGCTGAGTAAGAAATGAAGCCTAAGTTACAAATGACTAAATTGATTTAAAACAGTTATAGGTTGTTTATTAGTGGGAGAGCAAGAAATTCAAGGCAGGAAACTTGGTGTAGCCTTAACCTCAAAGAAAGGGCAGGTATCAGAGAAGAAGGGATAGTATCTTTAGATAGAGGAGAGGTGTCCAGCAACCTCCCAGGGAGAAAGCCTAAGGAATAAGTGAGGCTCTCTTTTGAGATAAGTAATTTGGATAGCAGAACTTCATCGGGCATGTTGTTCCATAGAACAGAAGGGATAAATTCCTGGAGTTGGTCTCACCCCACTGTTATACAGTCTTCAGCTGAATGTACCCTTCGCTGTAGAGCAGCTGTCAGAGATCTGTGGGACCAGCCTCACTACTTCAGGAGCTCTACAGACTCCTATTCTCCTTGATCTGCTTAGAAGTTCCTTACCAGCCTCACTGTCAACATGCCCCACAATCCCAGCCCTCACCTTTCCCTTTTAGAGCCTGTTTTCAAACTGGTTGTTACACAGGTAATGATAAAGGTGGGGTCAACTTTTTCTAGCTCCTAGTACTGCTGTCCACTTCCCAAGCTAAAATAAGCACCAACATTCTTCTTTTGACTCTTTAGCAGGTGAACGTATTTTGCTTTTCTGGGTAGTAGGAGAGGATGGTATGCAGGAGAAGGTATGAAGAATAAGAGAAAAGTTGTGGTTCTGTGTTGTGTGCGGAAGTAGGGGAGAAACCCTGACTGGGAAAGGGTGAGAGTTAGAATCCTTGCTGGGCAAGAAAACAGCACAGATTACAATTTGTTGCCAAAACTGTTAGTCACAGGGTCTGGAAACCTCTTTCCCTGTTTCTTGCTTCTCAGAGCCTCTGCCGCAGGCCTGGGAGCCATGACCCTGATTTGGAACAAAGAAGGTTTTGTTCCAATTGCCTGGATTTTGAGACAAGGGATATGGTAGGGAGTGTTTTTAAAAGTATCTTCCTCTAGTGAGTTGGTTTAAATATAGTGGTTAGATTTTACAGTTTTATCAGCACAGTGTTATGCTTCATGTATTATAGTAAGTCAGATAGACTTTTATAAAAGCCAGACAGACAAACCTATTATCTTTATGGGGAAAATATATTGAAAGCTCCAGATGGCTGTCTTATATGCTTGTGGAACATAACCATTCTTAAGATGCACACTTTGTGTAATTCAAAATAATTAAGGTTTGTACCTTGTAGTTTTTTCTCCTCTTGAGTGTGTAGCAATATTCCTTTTCTCCAAATTCGTAAATTAATTTTTTTAGATTTCTCAGTGCTTATATGATTAGTATCAGTTCAGCATATACTAGGACTAAAAGTAGAAAAACTGTGTTTCAGAGGAAATGATTTCTGAAAATGATATTACATGTTGAGACTAGTAATAAAATAGGTTAGAGACAGGAGGCTGTTTAATGCTAACCAGGTGCTGTAGTAGATATTCACAGCGATCCTCTTACAGGCTGCTCGGTCGCAGGGAGTAGACTGTCTGGTGGCTCCATATGAAGCTGATGCGCAGTTGGCCTATCTTAACAAAGCTGGCATTGTACAAGCTATAATCACAGAGGACTCTGATCTCCTAGCCTTTGGCTGTAAGAAGGTACTTGACTGCAACTACACGTGTTACTTCTCTATGTAGATGGAAGCAGTGTAATTCAAGGAACTAAAAGTTTTTCTCCAGGAATAATTATGCTATTTATTTTATTTGACATCTGCTTTTACAATGTTGATAATTATTTAGAATAAAAAGAAAGGTTTTGTTGCTTGACATCTAGTATAATCAGGGCACGTTTTCAGAGTAAGTCCTTAAGGTGGGAGGGTTTTGTTGTTGCTCTTTCCAAAACTTTTAAGAGAATGTAGCTATTAGTCTTTTTAATGACGGTAACTTATATGCTTTACAATTTTCAGTGAGGTTAGGTAATTAACTAATTTATCCAATAATCGGATGCTGTGCAGTTATTTAGAGTTATGAATGAAACTAATGGAAAACGGTAAATTAATGGAGGGAAATTAAGATATAAAACTATAGGATGATGTTATTGTTAATATGTATATTTACATTAGCTGCACTTTCATAGATGGCTGCTGTTGTTGTTAGGTGCCGTTGAGTCAGTTCTGACTCATAGCGACCCTATAGGACAGAGTAGAACTGCCCCATAGGGTGTCCAAGGAGCAGCTGGTGGATTTGAACTGCTGACCTTTTGGTTGGCAGCTGTTCTCTTAATCACTATGCCACCAGGGCTCTACTAGAATGAGCTATATCAAAAAGTTATTGCTGGGTAACAGTGTTACGTGAAGAATTATGGTCAATTTGGGTTTTCTTCCTCCTGAATTTCTATGTTTTCCAAATTTTCTACAATGAACATGTATTATTTTAATAGTAAGAGAAAGGATTACTTTAAAAGTGTAAAGGTGGAAGGTAAGGAGAAAAAACTTTTTGTATGCATCACTGTTTGATTGTCATGACAACCCTGGATGTAGGTATGAAGAAGAGACTTGCAGAGAGGGCATTGCTTGTACCAGAGTCAGGAGAGTCGAATTTTTAGTCCTGTCTTCTGACTGACTGTATAACTTTGTTGAGTCGTATCTTATACTTCAATTTAATTTATTTGCAAAGTTGGTAATAATAAGCCTGCTTACCTATATCTCAGTGTTAATGATGAAGAACAAGGACATTTTTTTTTTTAATTATTACAGTGAATTCGATAATGAAAAATAAGAAATGGCCATTCAGGTATTGACAATTTTCCTTCCTTTTGAAGGTTATTTTAAAAATGGACCAGCTGGGAAATGGACTAGAAATTGATCAGGCTCGTCTGGGAATGTGCAGACAGCTTGGAGATGTGTTCACAGAAGAGAAGTTCCGTTATATGTGCATCCTCTCCGGCTGTGACTATCTCTCATCACTACGTGGTATAGGATTAGCAAAGGCATGCAAACTGCTAAGATTAGCTAATAATCCAGATATTGTAAAGGTAAGAGTGCTTTACCAAATTTTATATTCAATTTCTGAAGCATTTCTTTTTTTCTTTTTTTATTGTGCTTTAAGTGAAAGTTTATAGTTGAAGTTAGTTTCTCATACAAAAATTTATACACACATTGTTATGTGACCCTAGTTGCTCTCGCTATAATGTGACAGCACACTCCTCCTTTCTGCCCCAGATTTCCTGTGTCTATTCAACCAGCTCCTGTCCCTTTTTGCCTTCTCATCTCACCTCTGGACAGGAGCTGCCCATTTAGTCTCATGTATCTACTTGAGCTAAGAAGCACTCTCTTCACGAATATCATTTTATGTCTTATAGTCTAGTCTAATATTTTTCTGAAGAGTTGGCTTTGGGAATGGTTTCAGATCTGAGCTAACAGAGAGTTCAGGGGCCATGTCTCCAGGGTCCCTCCAGTCTCAGTCAGACCATTAAGTCTGGTCTTTTTACTAGAACTTGAGTTCTGCACTCCACTTTTCTCCTGCTCCGCCAGGGACTCTCTGTTGTGTTCTCTGTCAGGGCGGTCATTGGTGGCAGCCAAGCATCATCTACTCCTTCTAGTCTCAGGCTAATGGAGTCTGTGGTTTATGTAGCCCTTTCTGTCTCTTGGGCTAATATTTTCCTTGTTTCTTTGGTGTTCTTCATTCTCCTTTGCTCCCGCTGAGTTGGGACCAATTGATGCATCTTAGATGGCTGCTCGCTGGCTTTTAAGACCCCAGATGCCACTCACCAAAGTGGGATGCAGAACATCTTCTTGATAAACTTTATTATGCCAGTTGACCTAGATGTCCCCCGAAACCATGGTCCCCAGAGCCCCGCCCCTGCTACTCTGTCCCTCGTAGTGTTTGGTTGTACTCAGGAAACTTCTTAGCTTTGGTTTAGTCCAGTTGTGCTGACTTCCCCTGTACTGTGTGTTGTCCTTCCCTTCACTGAGATAATTCTTGTCTACTATCTAGTTAATGAATACCCTTCTCCCTCCCTCCCCACCCTCGTAACCATCAAAGAGTGTTTTCTTCTGTGTTTAAACCTTTTCTTGAGTCCTCATAACAGTGGTCTTATATAATATTTGTCCTTTTGCAACTGTCTAATTTCACTCGACAAAATGCCTTCCAGATCCATCCATGTTATGAGATGTTTCGTGGATTCATCATTGTTCTTTATCGTTGCATAGTATTCCATTATGTGAATATACCATAATTTGTTTATCCATTCATCCACTGATGGGCATCTAGGTTGTTTCCATCTTTTTGCTATTGTGAACAGTACTGCAGTGAACCTGGGTGTGCACAAAATCTATTCGCATGATGGTTCTTATTTCTCTAGGATATATTCCAGGGAGTGGGATTGCTGGATCGTATCTATTTCTAGCTTTTTTTAAGGAAGCACCAAATCAATTTTCAAAGTGGTTGTACCATTTTACATTCCCACCAGCAGTGTGTAAGTGTTCCAATCCCTCCACAACCTCTCCAACATTTATTATTTTGTGTTTTTTGGATTAATGCTAGACTTGTTGGGGTGAGATGGTATCTCATTATAGTTTTGATTTGCATTTCTCTAAAGGCTAATGATTGTGAGCATTTCCGCATGTGTCTGTTAGCTGCTTGAATGTCTTCTTTGGTGAAGTGCCTGTTCATATCCTTTACCCATTTTTTAACTAGGTTATTTGTCTTTTTGTTGTTGAGGTTTTGCAGTATCTTGTAGATTTTAGCAATTAGGTGCTTATTGGATTTGTCGTAGCCAAAAATTTTTTCCCAGTGTGTAGGTTGTCTTTTTACTCTTTTGGTGAAGTCTTTCGATGAGCATAAGTGTTTGATTTTTAGGAGCTCCCAGTTATCTAGTTTCTCTTCTGGTATTTATGCATTGTTAGTAGTATTTTGTATTCTGTTTATGCTGTGTATTAGGGCTCCTAGCATTGTCCCTATTTTTTCTTCCATGATCTTTATCATTTTAGAGTTGATATTTAGGTCTTTGATCCATTTTGAGTTAGCTTTTGTCCATAGTGTGAGGTATGGCTCTTGTTTCATTTTTTTGCTGATGGATATCCAATTATGCCAGCACCATTTGTTAAAGAGACTGTCTTTTCCCCAATTAGTGGACTCTGGGCCTTTGTCAAATATCAGTTGCTCATAGATAGATGAATTTATGTCTAGATTCTCAATTCTGTTCCGTTGGTCTATGTATCTGTTGTTGTACCAGTACCAGGCTGTTTTGACTACTGGTGGCTGTATAATAGGTTCTAAAATCAGGTAGTCTGAGGCCTCCCACTTTGTTCTTCTTCAATAGTGCTTTACTTATCCGAGTATGAAGTTGGTGATTTGTTTCTCCATCATTAAAAAATGCCATTGGAATTTGGATCGACATTGCATTGTATCTGTAGAACACTTTGGGTAGAATAGACATTTTCACAATGTTGAGTCTTCCTATCCATGAGCAAGGTATGTTTTTCCACTTGTGTAGGTCTCCTTTGGTTTCTTGCAGTAGTGTCTTATAGTTTTCTTTTTATAGGTCTTTTATGTCTCTGGTTAGGTTTATTCCTAAGTATTTTGTCTTTTGGGGGGCTATTATAAATGGTATTGATTTGGTGATTTTGTCTTCGAAGTTTTCTTTGTTGGTGTAGAGGAATCCAACTGATTTTTGTATGTTTATCTTGTATCCTGATACTTTGCTGAAATCTCCTATTAGTTCCAGTAGTTTTCTTGTGGATGCTTTGGGGTTTTCTGTGTATAAGATTATATCATCTGCAAATAGAGATACTTCCACTTCATCCTTACCAATTTGGATGCCCTTTTTTTCTTTTTCTAGCCTAATTGCTCTGGCTAGGACCTCAAGCACAGTGTTGAATAAGAGTGGTGATAAAGGGCATCCTTGTGTTAGGATTCCTTTGTGCTCCTAAAAGCTCTTTGTGGCAATAATTTTTGTTTATGTGGTTTATAGCTGTCGATATTTATCAAATCAGAAATGAATACAGGAAGAATTTAAATAGTTATTAATTCACTTAAAATTAGCTGTAATAAACCCATTATGCATTAACACAAATAGCATGTTTTTATTAAAAATAGCTATTCTCTAAAACATAAAATTTTTGAGGAGAGACATTGTTTTACATTTTTGCAAATATCTTTTATGTAGCTTGACAGAAAGCAGCTGGATTCTTATATCTACTTCCACATTCAGTCTAATATTATGTGTCATGTAGCCTCTGGAAAACTCCTGTACACTCCTAAAACACCATACATCATTGATCTAAAGTTTCTCTGATGTCTTTACCTTAAAAAAAAAAAAGACATCAAAGAAGCTAATTTTTCCTCTTTCAGTAGTTCTCCAAATGCCTTTATGGTTTTCAAAGCAGAAATCCCATTTTCTATTTCCGAGAATACAAAGCACGAATGCTCAGGCATAAGAGTATTGTAATACAATGAAAAGATCTCTAGAGTGGGAGAGGGGCAGAGCTGGGAATAGAGCAACCTGTCGTAACTAGCTTGTGACCCTAGGATCACATCAGTTTTCTGAGTGTTTACTTCCTCATCTGTGAATTTGATATGTAACATTTTGGACCCTTTCCAGCTTAACTACCCATGACTAACAGAAGTTAGATGTTGACTTAGTTTTAAAAATATCTAAGAATGTTTGCTTTGTTTAATTCTTAGATTTTGTATGTTGTTTTTTGCTTTCTGCGTGGATGAGACTTGGAGGGAGAATAAAGTGTCTTAAAGTTAACACTTAGGAACATGCACTTGATGTATAACTGAGCTTTAGATTCTTTGGCTTAATAATAGAAAAACCAAAGAAAATATTAATTATAGAGATTTAAATGTTTAAGTGATATAACATGGTTATGTTTGCTGGTAGGGTTTTTTAATAGAAATGAAAGCAATTGATTTTTTCTGTCCCTCCTCATTTTCCTCTAATATTCCTCTAAATTGATCTATCTTGAGGATAATAGGTTCCCTATTCTTCAGTTACAGATAACTCATAAGTATTCTTTTGCATCCATTGCTAGGTTATCAAGAAAATTGGGCATTATCTCAAGATGAACATAACAGTACCAGAGGATTACATCAAAGGCTTTATTCGAGCCAACAATACCTTCCTTTATCAGCTGGTTTTTGATCCCATCAAAAGGAAACTCGTTCCTCTCAATGCCTATGAAGATGACATTGATCCTGAAACACTAAGCTATGCTGGATGGTATCCTTTCTGAACCATATTTTTATGGTGATATTTTTTAGTGAGACATTGAGTGAAAAGCTTGCATATTGTTTTTTGCTTTCATTTTTCTGTAATAAAATCTACATTTTGTTCATTTTAATTAACATGCTACTGAAAATTTAGAGCAGCTTTTTGTTTCCAAACCCGAGGATCATTGGTTAGAGTATGCTAATTATCGTTAGATTGACTTGACAGAAACCCTGCATGGGGTTTATCCCTTACAGCACACATTCCAAAGGGGCCTCTTGAGAGAACCCCTTGTGACAAGTGATCTTGATTTAGCAGGAAGAGCTTTCTGGGTATGTGTGCACCAGGAGAGGATGCTTTTCCACAGCCACTGGCCATGCCTACCCAGGCTGATCAGAATTCGGAGTCACTGAGTTGTGACTTTCCACCTCCTTGAAAGGCAGTAAGTGATGATTTGGGACTTTGCTTCAGAAAACAGCCAACTCCTGCAGTGGCAAATAGGGACTAATCAACTATGCCTGTGGTTTTGGTAATGCTGATAGTATAAAGTGAGTAAGATCCACTTAAGTTATAAACTTGAAGATTTTCTGTAGAAAATATTTTTCTGTCTTAATACAGTATCATTTTGTTTGGCTGTTAATAAAGGCATTTTTCCTTAATCTTACTAACTTAGGTATGTTGATGATTCTGTAGCTCTTCAAATAGCACTTGGAAATAAAGACATAAATACTTTTGAGCAGATCGATGACTACAATCCAGACACTGCTACGGTAACTTTTTAATGACTGTGTTTATTAAACAGCGCATTTAAGATCTGTGCCAGGGCCTGTCATTAATTAAAGGCGGTCATATTGAATATGTGAGCTACGAACAAGGATGTTATGGATTACTAAAATAGCAATCCTCCATGAGCCCAAATCCTGGTCAGATCTTTCTCATAGGGAAATTTTCTATAGGAAGTATTAATTTTACACAAAACCACTGAATTCCTTCCATTTATCTAAAATTTATTTTCAGTCTGGTTTTCTACTCACCAATTTCTCTTTTTTCAAAAAACAATCAACGGGGATCTAATGCCGTGAGCCGTATACTGCTCACACTGTTTTTTTATTTTATACCCGTTCCCTCAATTATTCTTAATTACCTTTCTTGTTAATTCTCAGTAAGTGTCACCTTGTTTGTTTATCTTATCCTTACTTTAAGTGAAAGATTACATTCCAAGTTCAGGTGAGATTTTTGTCAGGTAGGATTCATGCCCCACGTACCAACATTTTTTGGTACTTTAGCTATCCTGCTCTATTAGTGTGTCGTTGACATCCTCTTAGCAAATCATACATTGTAATTGTGAATAACTTACAATGACCTTTAAAAATGATTGCTTACCAATATTAACTGGCAATAAGCACTTTCTCAGAGAAAGTTTTATGCAAGACTCAGTGTAGCCCAAAGAGTAGCCTTCTGTTTCTCTGTATTATCCACCAGTGACGGTAGCACGTACAGGTCTGACAGAAACTACAGTGAGACCTGTGAGAGCCGGAACTCGACGAGACAGCCTTGTTTTTCCGGGTCTCGCAAGTTTTCCGCCTCTGACAGGGTTCAGTCTTAACACTTTTCTATCCGTCCCTATTAGTGGAAAATATTTGAGTTTTCCTTCTCTGGCATATTTCCACCTCACACACATTCCAGCTTTTGCTAATTTTACTGTAGTATTTTGTGTCTTTGATTGATTTGGTTTGAACTCAACCAATTCCTAGAGATGGGATAGTTGGTTACTTTAAATACATAATCTTATCGTTTTAACTTTCAGGTGCATGTAAAGGGTACATAAATGATTATTTAGAGGCTTACTGCCAGGTAACTATTAAGCTAATTAATATTCTGTATTGAAATAATGCCCAAATTATAAAAATATGGTTTTTCTTCTGGTCACATTTCTTCAGTTCCAGTCTCTTTTCTTGCTCTGCTCATCTTAGGAAGATTTATTTTTTTATTTCTTAGAAATGAGCTAACAAGGTTTTTTGACCCTCATTAGAAGAGAAACAGACCTAGGACTGCATGATGACACACTTAATGGGAAAGTGTATGACCAGCAAAGTGGAAAATCTTATTATAGGACAGATACCTTATTTTTATGCAAATAACCAGCACCTTCTACTTTGTTTGCCAACCACCCCCTCCCCTCACGAGGTATTTTCATAAAGCGCCATTGTACCAATTTTTTACATGTTTCTGTAAAAAAAATTAGCATAGAGCACTTATAAAAATACCTCGCAAAGGGGGGCAAGTTTGGCAAAGTAGAAGGTGTTGGTTATTTGCATGAACATACGGTATTTCATTAAAAACTAATCTTTTTAGGGGTAATTTAATGTATTTGAATCAACTTGACAGCAGTGGGTTTTGGTTTAATATATTTACAGTAGTCCCCCCTCATCCACGGGGGGGATATGTGCCAAGACCTCCCATGGATGCCTGAAACCAAGGTAGTACCAAACCCTATATATTCTATGATTTGTCCTATGCATACATACCTATGATGAAGTTTAATTTATAAATTAGGCACAGTAATAGAGGAACAACAATAACTAATAACAAAGAACAATTTTAACAATATATTGTAATAAAAGTTATGTGAATGATGGAGCAGGACAGCATGAGATTTCATCATGCTACGTACTCATCAACATACCTGGGGTGACCGTGGGTAACTGAAACTGTGGATGGCGGGGCTACTGTACTTAAAATTTATGTTGATACAAAGGCAAATAAATGGACTGTTTTCCTCTTCAAGTAACGTTTTTTTCTTTTACTGTTTTAGCCTGCCAAATCAAGAAGTCATAGTTGGAATGACAAAACATGTCAAAAGTCATCTAATGTGAATAGCATTTGGCATAGGAATTATTGTCCTGGACTTGAGCTGGATATTGTTTCAAAGGCTACACCATTGAAGGAAAATCCAAGTACTGTGGGCATTGAACAAGTGATTAGTACTAAAATGTTAAATCTTCCAAAGAAGTTATCTGTTATAAAAAGACCAAGAAGTGGTATGTATTTTGTTTTTGTGAAATACTAGTGAGTATTGGTCACATCTAAGAAATCTGTGCCAAACCCAAGGTCACTAAGATTTTCTTCTGTGTTTTCTTCTAGAACTCTTTAGTTTTAGCTCTTACTTTTAGACCTATGATTCATTTCAAATTAATTTTTTACATGGTGTGAGGTAAGGTTCAAGGTTCACTTTTGTATATGGTAATCCAGTTGTTTTAGTATCATTTGTTAAAAAGATTATCCTTTTCCCGTTGAATTGCCTTGGCATATTTGCCAAAAATCAGTTGACCATAAATAATGTGCATCTATTTCTGGAGTCTGTTATTCTGTACCATTGATCTCTTTGCCTATACCTTTATAAAGCCACAGTGTCTCAACTACTGTAGCTTGATAGTAAATCTCAAAATCAGGTACTGTGAGTCCCCTTAGTTTGTTCTTTTTAAAACTTTTTTTGGCTATTCTATGTTCTTTGCATTTTCATATACATTTTAAAATCAACTTGACAATTTTTACTAAAAAATCCTGCTGCATTTTGATTGGGATTTAGTTGAATCTTTAGATCAATTTGGGTAGAACTGACATCTTAACAATATTAAGTTTTCTCATCCACTTACTTAAGTGTACTTTCATTTAAGTCTTCAGAAATACTCTGTAGTTTTCATTGCACAGGTCTTGCATATCTATCGTTACATTTATCCCTAGGTATTTCATGTTTTTATACTATTGTAAGTGATATATATTTATTTTGATTCCTAATTGTTTTTTGCTAGTATATAGAAATACAATTAGTTTTATATGTTGTATATTGACCTTATATTCTTTCACCTTGCTAAATTCACTTGTTCTAGTAACTCTTGTAGATTCCCTACAATTTTCTCTGTAGACCACCATGTCATCTGTAAATAAAGACAGTGTTACTTCTCCTTTTCCAATCTAGATGCCTTTTATTTCTTTTTCTTGCCACTAGAACCTCAAGTACAGTATTGAACAGAAGTGCTAAAATGGAAAACTAGGTATTAGGACAAGGTATGACTTTTTTTCACCGTAAAAGATGTTTAGAAGTGGAAAGAATAATTTTACAGTATCTGTTCCTTCTCACTTACTTCTCTCCCTCAGACATCTATATGAATGAAAAGCTAACAAAAGAAACCAAACAAAGCCGTTTGTGAACTTTTAGTTTATGCTTTATTTTTTAAATTTAGGTAAACATTATACCTGCTTGACAAGAATGTCCTGATTCCTATGAACCTAAATCTTTTTCATGATAACGTCCCTGAACCATTGTTTCTTCATCTGATATAGGAATGATTTTGCCTGTTTCACAAGTTTTTGTGTATGTTATATAAGATAATTATAGAATCACTTGGAACATAGTATACTGTACATTTTAGTTCCTTCCCTTCTGCTATCAAGACAGCCTATTCTTTTTATGTAGAGAGCTCATTATCACCAAGTTCTCATGTCAGACTATGTCTGCTTTCTTAAAACTTTTCACTTACCAGTGAATTTTGTCTCCTAGGTACACACACAAACAGAAAAACAAAACCAAAAAACAGAGTAGGATTAACCCCACTTTTATGTGGCAGCCCTTTATATATAGATAAAGCAGCCATTATGACCCTCCTAAATTTCTTCTTTTCCATGCTAAATATCCCTTATCTGTCCAGGTTGTGCTTTGCATATAAACCAGTTTTTTTTAATAATTGTGTAACTATTACAGTGAATAAGATTGTTGAGATGTGGTCTTGTTACCACAGACTGCAGTAAATATTTAGAATTGTGGCACTATCTCAGTCTTTCATCCAGAGACTATGCTTTAATCGTTGCAAACTAAAATTGTGTTAGTGTTTATTAGCAATCTTGTCATTTTGCTGGCTTTTACTTAGTTTATAATCAAAGTTTGCCAGTTGCTGTTAACAAAAAAAAAACGAAAACCCATTGTTGTCAAGTTGATTGTATCATTTAGCTCTTCTGTGTCTTTGTTGAGCTTCTTTCTGGATGTTCTGTCCTTCACCGAAAGTGGCATGTTGAAGTCTCCTACTACTATTGTGGAGCTGTCTATCCCTCTCTTCAGAGCTGTTGGAGTTTGTTTTATGTATTTTGGAACCCTGTTGTTGGGTGCATAAGTATTTATTATAGTTATGTCCTCCTGGTGTATTGACCCTTTAATCATTATATAGTGCCCTTCCTTATCTTTTGTGGTGGATTTTACTTTAAAGTCTATTTTGTCAGAGATTAATATTGCCACTCCTGCTCTTTTTTGAGTGTTGTTTGCTTGATATATTTTTTTCCATCCTTTGAGTTTTAGCCTGTTTGTGTCTTTAAGTCTAAGGTGTGTCTCTTGTAGGCAGCATATAGATGGATCATGCTTTTTTATCCAATCTGCCATTCTCCATCTCTTTATTGGTGCATTAAGTCCGTTTACATTCAGCGTAATTATTGAGAGGTATGAGTTTGGTGCTGTCATCCTGATATCTCTTTTTGTGTGTTGTTCACAGTTTCTTTGTTCTCCTCAATTTTCTGTGCTGAGTTGTTTTTCTTTATGTATTTTTTTTTTTTTTCATCTTTTTCTTTGTTGTAGATTTTGTGTTTGCTGGGTCTTTATGTTTTTCTACTTTTTTATTTTGATTTGTAGGATTGTTAGATTCCTTTGTGGTTACCTTAATATTTACCCCTAATTTTCTAAGTTTATACCAGTCTTTTATTACTTTATATCACCTTAACTTCCCCTCCATATAGAAAATCAATGTCTCTCTTTTTTAAGTCCCTCTTTTTTTGTTTTAATATTATCCTTTTTTTTTATATATTGATATCTGTTTCCCTATTTTCAATGTTTTAGCTTTGATGTAATTTTGATTTCCGTATCTGAGTCAATATCTGGTTGCTCTGTCCTGTGTTCTAGTCTTGCGTTGTTAGCTGGTGTTATTGATTATCTAACCGTAGGACTCCCTTTAGTATTTCTTGTAATTTTGGTTTGTTTTTGCAAATTCCCTGAACTTCTGTTTATCTGGAAATGCCCTAATTCCGCCATCATATTTAAGAGACAGTTTTGCTGGATATATAACTCTTGGCTGACAGTTATTTTTCTTCAAGGCTTTAAATATGTCATCCCATTGCCTTCTAGCCTGCATGGTTTCTGCTGAGTAGTCCGAGCTTATTCTAATTGACTGTCCTTTGTAGATGACTTTCCTTTTATCCCTAGCTGCTCTTAAAATTCTCTCTTTATCTTTGGTTTTGGTAAGTTTGATTATAATATGTCTTGGTGACCTTCTTTTGGGATCTACCTTATGTGGGGTTTGATGAGCATCTTGCATAGATATCTTCTCATCTTTCATGATATCAGGGAAGTTTTCTGTCAATAAATCTTCAATAATTTTCTCTGTATTTTCTGTTATCCCCCCCGTTCTGGTACTCCAATTACTCGTAGGTTATTTCTCTTGATAGAGTCCCACATGACTCTTAGAGTTTCTTCATTCTTTTTAATTCTTTCATCTGATTTTTCCTCAAATAAGTTGGCGTCAAGAGCTTTATCTTCAATGTCACTAATTCTAACTTCTACTGCCTCAGTTCTCCTCCTATGACTTTCTATTGAGTTGTCTAATTCTGAAATTTTATTGTTAATCTTCTGGATTTCTGTTTGCTGTCTCTCTATGGATTCTTGCAGCCTATTAAATTTGGCATTATGTTCTTGAATAATTTAAGTTCTGCCACTACTGTGTCTGTATGTTCCCTGGCTATTTCTGCCTTCTGTTGAATTTCCTTTCTTATTTCTAGAAGAGTTCTGTATACTAATCTTTTGTATTCTGCCTCTGGTAATTCCAAGAAGTTCTCTTCCTCCAGAGAATTTATTGATTCTTTATTTTGGGAGCTTGCTGAAGCCATCATGGACTGCCTCTTTATGTGACTTGATATTGACTTGTCTCCAAGCCATCAATAATTATAATTTTATTTTGTGTTTCCTTAGTGAGACCTAGCTTCTTATTTTGTTTTGTTTTGATATGCCCAAATAGGCTGCTTGTGTGCACTGGTTTGATTTTTGACAGCTTTTGATCTCTAATGTCCTGTCACCAGGTAGTTAGTTCTGAAACTAAGTATGTGCACACAGGAGTCCGTAAAATTTTCCTATATGGGATCAGCTCGGGTGTTCAGGCAGTTGGTCACCAAGTGTGTGATGCAGGCTCTCACCCCAAGTCCTAGAGAGGCATGGGTGATTGGTGCAGGCACTGGACTCTGACTGTGGTAGGCGATCACACGCTGAGCCAGGCAGGGGGCTGACGGCTGCCCCTGAGAGTCTGAAAGGAAAGCGTGTCCCTATTCTCTAGGGTGAGTAGGTAGGTCAGTTTTGCAGCCGGGCTAAGAGCACCCCACTCTGTTGGCTGTAAAGACTCGAGGGCACCACCTTTTCTTGAACTTCTGTAGCAGGTGACTAGGCACTTTAGGAGCTACCACCAGTCCTCAAGACCCTGCTGCAGATCGATAAAAGTGCCTACTTGAGGGGCAGGGCTGTTTCGAGGGTCACAAATCTCCCAAATCACAGCTGAAGCAGTTGAAGTTAAACTTCAGATGTTTGCCCTGTTGTACTGTAGCAGTGAGGGCTAACGCTGTTGAGATCAGTCCCCACAAGTCTATACAGGGGTGTAAGGCACTCCGTGCCTGCAGACCCCTGATTTCTGTGGCCAGCAAAGGAGCTGTGCCGACCCTGTGTTCCTAGCCTAGGGGAGCCAGCAGCTTATTTGTTCCCTCTCCAAGGCCAGGAGAATGGGTCAGGGCGCCTTTTGGGATCTACTTCCAGCCCAGCGGACTCCCAGTGCAGAGCGTGGAGGGAGGAGGTGAAAGGGAGAGGGGTTTTCCCCAAATCCGGTGCAGAGCGTGGAGGGAGGAGGTAAAAAGGAGAGAGGTTTTTCCCAAATCCGGTGCAGAGTGCAGAGGGAGGAGGTAAAAGGGAGAGAGGTTTTTCCCAAATGGGCTTTTTTTTTTTTTAATTGCTGCGAAAGGGTGCACGCATGTTCCTATCCTAGCCTCTTGGGAGCTGCGCTTTACTGGTTCGGAGTGTCCAAGCAGAATCTCTGCTGCCGGGTCTCTCTCAATGTGGAAACTGCTTCCCAAGCGCGTGCACAGTATAGCTGTTTGCCTGCTTCACCGCGGACCGGCATGGTTGTGGCTTTGCAGTTTCACCGCCATGGCTGTAGCCCTCCTCACCTCTTTTAAACAATCTTCCTCTCCGGTACGACTCAGATGGATTTCTTAACCTTGCCTTGTTCAGGGCTGCCAGATGTTCACATAGAATCGTATCACTTGTTTTTCCAGATCTTTGTTGTAAGAGGGATATAAGAAGCGTCTAACTACTCCACCATGTTGACCACGCCTCCCCATTGTTGTCAAGTTGATTCCGACTTATAGCGACCCTATAGGACATAGTAGAACTTCCCTGTAGGGTTTCCAAGGAGGGCCTGGTGGGTTCGTACTGCCGACCTTTTGGTTAGCAGTCATAGCTCTTAACCACTACACCACCGGGGTTTATGAGTTGCTGTTAAGCCAGGTACAATTATATTTTTTAAATGTGAGTTACGTTATCCCTATCGAGGTAATCTTACTCATTTTAGTCCATTGTTCTGCCTATTTTTGTTTTTTCTTCTTTGAATCTGTACAGAAGCAGACTACTGCATCTTCTGAGGAGTGGCTGGTGGGTTCAAACTACCAACCTTTCAATTAGCAGCTGAGCACTTAACCTCTGCACCACCAGGGCTCCTTATAGATAACTATGTCACCAGGAAATTTGAGAACTTTCCATAGCACGGCTCCCTGTGTCTTAACATTGTGGTAAAAATGTGTTTAGCTGAATCAGAGCAAGTACAGCAATCCAGAGCACTACCCTAGAGACAGACCTCGTTTCAGACTACCAGTCGCCAGCAGTCTTTGTGGGCCGTTCAACTTGCTGCAAATCCATGTAACTGATACACAGTAGAGCTTTCTCTACACTGTCCACTAGGATAATATGAGTGGCACTGACATATCTTGCTGAATTCAAGATATGCTAGATGTGTGGAACTCCCCTGAGTAGCTAGGCTAACAACCTTATCACAAAAAGAAAATGAGGTTAGTCTGGTGTGGCTTGTTCTTGCTGAAGTCTTGCTGGGAATCCTAGAATGCTTTTTTCTTCTCTAAAGGCTCACAGTTCTCTATATAATAAACAGATTTAGACTTTTGCCAGGGATCAAAATCAAGTTTACTGATCTATAGCTTTTTAGAAGTCTAGCATTTTAAAAATCTGTAGCATCATCTTCTTGTCTCTATATTCTGATACCTTGACCATCTTACTGGCTTCTTAAAGTTCAGAGTAGTGTGCACTTAGGAGTCCCTGGGTAATGTAAATGGTTAATGCCCTCAGCTGGTAACTGAAAGGTTGGTGGTTCAAGTCCGCCCAGAGGCTCCTTGGAAGAGAGCTGGCGATCTACTTCCCAAAAATCAGTGATTAAAAACAATGTGGAGCATAGTTCTACTCTGACACACACAAGGTGACCGTGAGTCAGGGTCCACTCTACAACAACTAGTTACTGGTAGTGTGTACTTAACCTCCATGGAATGGGAGCTATTTGGATTCTGAGAATTGGTTGAACTAATTTAAAGCTATCCCTTCTCTATGTCCTCGTCTATCTCAGGCTTTAACTGTGTGTATTCTATAGTGTTTAGATTCTTTCTAATACCACAGATTGCATTTAACACACAGCAGTCTTCTAGGACCCCATAGCTAGGTAGTGGAGGATCAGCACTAGAGCACAAATTACTTTTGACAACACAACAATCACATATACTTCAAAACTAACACGTAGATGGTTTGTATAGCTGCTGCTTTGGGGAACATTTTTTAAATTAATTATACATTTACATGTAAGTTGCCTCTAAAAAAATTTTTTTACATTCAAAACTAAAACCTTAGTATAATGAGTAAATATAAAAGCCATATAGAATTAATTGATTATGCCCTGAAGATTTGGTTTGGATTATGTCATAAAATTGTGCAAATAATTGACATTAAATCTTAACTAATATGTGTAATTCTAAAACACAATTGAGGCAGTTTGAATCATCCTCGTATTTCCTCTTGTGGAGCATAATTAAAAAAATAATAAATCATTTTTAGAACCATAGATTATAAACTGTGACGTTCAGACAAAATCTCCAGCTACGAATGAAACGAAGATTTACAGATAATTTTGTTTTTATTTAGAAGAGCTGTCAGAAGATGATCTATTGAGTCAGTATTCTCTTTCATGTACAAAGAAGACCAGGAAAGATAACTGTGAAGGTGATAAATCACTGAACTCTTCTGAAGTGTCCATGCCTGACCTGATAGATGGAACTGCTGGGAAAAAAAGCACTCCGCCTAGGACAAGAAATAAATTTGCAGCATTTTTACAGAGAAAAAATGAAGAAAATGGTGCAGTTGTGGTTCCAGGGACCAGAAGCAGGTATAGTCATATATACAGGATGTTGTTTGTCTGTTGTATTATGTACTATACTGATGTTTATTTTAATTATCTTGAATAAACAATGAATCTAGTGGGTTGGGTGTCAACTTTTTTAGTCTCTTTGAGAGCTAAATACAATTTTGCAAAGTATTTTTAGAAATATATTCAAATGCGAATGACTTCAGAGTTCTAATATTAATTGAAAACCCAATACTAGGTGCTATGGTCACAAAAATGAGAAAGACATAGTCTCTGTTCTTGAGAAGCTCATAGTCTACTTAGGCAAGTTAGGTACATAAACAAAATATTTTGATATAGTGTGGTGAATGCAGTGATACAAGTATACATAAGGTGTTTCAAGGGCTTAAAGGGGCGTCTGATGCCAGGGCAGTGGTTACAGAGGGTGAGAGAGAAGAGTGTCAGATGCTGCTACTTAGGTTTAAGTGACTAATGGGGTGAAGCAGACAAAGAACAGAGCCAAGCACCTTCTCAGTAGAGTCAAACAGCTTGACCAAAGGCATGGGTGTGGGGGACACTACTTGCTGTTGATCGTTGCTATTATTATCATTACTGCCACAGTGCGAGTTGGGGAAAGGTAAATGATGAGCGAGCAGAAATAAGCTGGAGGTGAGTTCATGGTAAGCTTGTATGCCGAGCTGAGAAACTTTGAGTCTTTTCTTTAGAGGTGATGGAAAATGTTTAGAGGGTTTTAATCAGGGGAGAGTTATGATTAGATTGCTGTTTTAGATGGACAACTCTGAGTGCCCTGTGATGAATGGATTTGAGAGGCCCAAAAGTGGCTGTTGCCATAGTCCAGGCGAGCAATGATGAGATGTTGATGAGTCAGTATAACTTAGCAGTTGACAATTTGGACTTGAGTCAGGCCATGTGGATTTGAATGCTGTCCTGTCCACTCATTAGATGCTTGACTTGGGCAAGTTAACTTCTAGGTGCTTCAATTTCCTCATTTTAAAAAATGAGGATAATCATTGTAACAGCCTCAGGGTTGTTGAAAGGATTAAATTTAGTTACTATAAGTTAAGTGCCTAAAACAGTGCCTGACATGATAAACATGCAATAAATAGCAATTATTTTATTGTCTTTGGATAGCGATGCCACCATGTGAAACAGGGATATTAAGTGTCAGAAGTTATTCAGGCATGATAGAGTAACTCTAAGAAAAAGAACACTTACCAGCCCTATATTCCTCTAGAAGACTTAGAATGGATTTGTATGTATATGTTTCAAGTTTAATAAATCAGTCTGCAGCTAAGTTTTGTCTCACCATGATAATGGGAATGGGCATGAATGAATGAACCACTGAAACTCTAAGCCTCACTTTAGGTGACGTTTCAAACCGTTTTCCCATCAAGTCTTTTCTAAGAAGCATTCACAACACAAGGAGCCCTGGCGGCACAAGTGGTTAAGCAGCTAGGCTGTGAACTAACCCAACAGCCACTCCACGGGAGAAAGATGTGGCAGTCTGCTTCCATAAAGATTTCCAAAAAAACCCATAATCAAGTCGATTCCAAATCATAGTGACCCTATAAGACAGAGGAGAACTGCCCCATAGGGATTCCAGGGAGCAACTGGTAGATTTGAATTGCAGACCTCTTGGTTGGCAGTCAAGTTCTTAACCCCATAGGGTTTCCAAGGCTGTAATCTTTACAGGGAGCTCTGGTGGCGCAGTGGTTAAGAGCTTGATAAAATATCCCAAGTGTAAGGCTATACCCAGCTGCTTTAGGTAGCTTACCTAGATACATCACTAGTAAATTGTTCAGAGAGTATATGAAGACATGGCTGCAGGAAGTACATTTTTTCTCCATCAGCTTCCTTTGAAATAATAATTGGGAGTAAGTGTTTGACTTAAAATTTTCTGGCCTGGGTTATATGGCAACATCTAATAATAACTAAATATTATTAAATTAGTTTTCTTAGCTAGTTTTCAAAGTTCTTTTACATATTCCCTTATTTCTCACAACAGTATTTGAGATATACAGGTTTGGTGTTATTTTCTCTATTTGGGGGGTTAAGAGATTGAGGCTCTGAGAGGTTAAGAAACTTTCCCAGAGTCATACAGGTAGTACTGGTGATAGGAGAAGTTCCTGGTCAGAAGCGATGTGGAGTGAAAACAGCACATGATCTTGTCGACCTGGATTTGAATTCTGCTCTGTCATCTTATTAGCTGAGTGATCTTTCACACGCTATTTAACTTTCCTGAACCTGTTTCTTTATCTGTAAAATGTGGATGAGCAGACACAGAAGGCTGTTGTGAAGATTAATAGACTTATGTATATCAGGCACTCAGTACAGTGCTTGGCCGCTGACATATATTCAGGTATGCATTACCACCTCATTCTTTTTTAATATAATGCAACTAAAAGGAGCTGTTAAATATGCGAAAAATTGTCCCCATCTTTTTTTTGTTTGTTTTTTTGGAAGTGGTTTTCCATCTTTATTGTATGGATACTTATTTTAGAAACATACCAGTTAATCAGTTAAGTAATACTATAGACTCATTGCAAAGGAGGAGCCATCAAATTGGAAGAGTTCTGGGTTTGAATTCTGTTCTCTAGCTGATTAATTTTATGACCCTGGGCATTGTCATTATAACTTCTCTTTTCCCATGAAATAATACATGGAAGAATGTTTGGCCTCTAAAAAGAAATGAGTATGAGCATGAGAGAGATTACTGTTTATTTAAAAATCAGTTATATGATTGGGTCTAGGAGCTAATGGTTTCTGTTCAGTGAAAAGCTTAGTAAGGCCTTCCCTTCCATGTATTGCTTCTTACCCTGTACCCACAAAACGTATCTGGGGAGTTTGATGAAAGGACAGAGGGGACTTTTACTCTTTAATATCGACTTGGCGGCAATGACTCTGGTTTTTGCTTTTAGTGTTTAGTAAATTTTCTGTTTATCATCTTGGATTGAACTAATGTGTATTATTAGGAAAGTAAATTCTCTTTAACTTTCATTTTTATCTGATCATGTAATCTAAGCCTTTTTTTTTAAACCTAAATACTCCTGGAATAAACCTTGCTAATAGTGATACTGATCTTTCTGACATTTGTATTGAAATGTTTTTAAGTGATTTTTTTTTAAAGCTGATAAACTGAAAAAAGTAATACCTCTTTATAATACAGAATTTTATAGCTGGTTTGAAAGTTTTAACCTCAATATTTAAAATAGTGTAGAAGTTTATCGGGTATGTAACAAGCTAGTAGTAGCATTAGTGTACTGGGCTACTAAAAGGTCCCACATGCTCTGATACTAGCAATAAAACTAAGAATTAAATGGCTAATTTCTTTCTTGCTATAAATATGAGACAAGAGTTATAAATAAATAGCCCTTTCTGTTGCATATTTTCTTATCTGTTCAAATATTTCACTACCAGCCATGTGTCAGTCACCATCCTAGATACTGTGGAGGATACAAAGACATAAGAAACAGTACCTGCCTCAAGTGGCTTATATTCTGTTTGGGAGTTAAAAGGGTTTGGGGAATGAACATTATATAATGATTAAGTATAGGTAAAACACACAAGCTTCAAATGCGTATGTGTATAAATAACTGCTTCTGTTCCTGAGTGGAAACCCCAGGTTCTTGCTTGGTATGACTCGTATTGGCCAATAAACAAGAGACTGAGATGGGAGAACAGGAAAGGCACCTTTATTTTGTTGTACAAGGAAAAGGAATGTCTTGGCAGCAGCACTTCTAGATAACCAAAAACCAAACCCGTTGCCATCGAATCGATTCTGTCTCATAGTGACCCTATAGATAGTCCTGTCTACAAATTGATTGTATGAATAATGTTCAAATGTGTGAATGTTGGCATGATCAGAACTTAAACGTTGACGCTCAAGACCTGTATTGCCTTTGTTTATGAAAAATATGTACTTATGAGACTTTTCTTTTTAAAGAAACTGGACCATTATTCCATTTTGAATCTTGATGCCCTTGTGAGAAAACTCTGAAATACTTATCTATATTTCTGTTGTCTCAGGTTTTTTTGCAATTCTCTGGATTCTGCTGACTGCGTATCAAAGAAAGAAAACATCCAGCCTTTAGATGAAAGTGCTGTCACAGATGAAGAGACGCATCTAAAAGAATCCGATTGTCTCGAAGGCGAGAAGCTGGCCGATACAGACAGAGCACATGATTCAAGTGATCAGATTCCAGATGATGATGTATCTGTGTTTGCTGATGAAGAGTCTCAGGCTTTAAAGACCAACAAATTCACAAGGACCATCTCACCACCCACCCTGGGGACTCTAAGAAGTTGTTTTAGTTGGTCTGGAAGTCTTGGAGATTTTTCAAGAACTCCTAGCCCCTCTCCAAGCACAGCACTGCAGCAGTTCCGTAGAGACAGTGATTCTCCCACCTCTCTGTCTGAGAAAAGTAAGATGGCTGCTGTATCTCCGTCAAAGAGTGGTGAGTCAGGTGATGAATCTCATCCCTTACATGAAGTGGGACAGTCTTCACAGTCCCAGGAAAGCATAGAATTATCAACGCATGATTTGAATGCATCAAAACTTTCTCAACCTTCTAGTAAGGATTCAGATTCAGAGGTAAGTCAAATTATGAAGCCTTTATGTTCAAATTCGTATGTAAGAGAAAATAAGGTGTTAACAAGATAATTGAGGGAATTTTGCCTAAATTTTGGAAGGAATTGGCTGTCTTAATTGTTTGATGTAGATCCTGTAATGTACAAAGTTCCCATTTTATTCATTTGAAGGATGTCTCTGTACCTTTTATGTTTGAAACTCTTGTACATTCAATATAGGTATATACCTCCTGAATCACTCTGCTTCCATCAATAGTTGTCTCAAGTTCTGAACAGTTAGGAGCTAAGCAGAATGATAAGCTATGAAATGAAAAATTATTATACATGTAATATTTAAATCCTTAATGTATTCTTGAATTCAGTAACATTTGAGATCTTATAAAGAAATGGCCCTTTTACTGTGATGGTTTAATTGTCTTAGCTTTTAGTACTTTAAAGAAATATTCTTGCTAAGCTTTCCCTTTATAACAAAACAAAATAATAATACGAACGATTTTATGTTATTCTGTTTTAAATTAACAAAAGCATCCTATCCATTTTTTTCGTATATCTAAAGGGTCACTGTGAAAATCAACTCAATGGCAATGAGTTTTTTTTGTTTGTTTGTTTTTGTTTTTGTTTTTTTGATTAAAGTATCTTTTATTCTGACTTACATAAAATCAAAACTCCAAATAAGTACTGGTTATAAGATTCAGTGACATTAAACAGTGAAACCTGTGAGAGCTGAAACTTAATGGGACTGCCTTGTTTTTCCAGGTCTCACAAGTTTTTTGCCTTTGACAGGGTACATTCTTACCACTTTTCTATCGTTCGTTTTAGTGGAAAAGATTTGAGTTTTCCTTTTCTAACACGTTTCTGCCTAAGTTATCTAGTGCTGCTATAACAGAAATACCACAAGTTGATGGCTTTGATAAACAGAAATTTATTCTCTCACAGTTTAGGAGGCTACAAATCCAAATTCAGGGCTCCAGCTCCAGGGGAAGGCTTCTCTGTCAGCTCTGGGGGAAAGTCCTTGTCATCAGTTTTCCCCTGGTCTAGGAGCTTCTCAGCGCAGGGACCTCAGGTCAAAAGGATGCACACCACGTCAGCTCCACTTGCTTGGTGGTAGTGAGGTCCCTCTCCTCTCTGCTCGATTCTCTCAAAAGAGATTGACTCAAGATACAACATAATCCTGCAGATTGAGTCCTGCCTTGTTAACATAACTGCCTCTAATCCTGCCTCATTAACATCATAGAGGTTAGGATGTACAACACATAGGATAATCACATCAGATCACAAAATGGTAGAAACCACACAATAAGGGAATCATGGCCTAGCCAGGTTGACACATATTTTTGGGGGACACAATTCAATCCATAACACTGCCTTACACTGGTTCCAACTTTCGCAGGTTTTACTGTATTTAAAAATGACATGATGGCATAATAGCTTTCTTTAAATCTGAGTTCTCTCAAATTTATCGATATAATATACTTCATTTATCTTTACCAACTGTAATTACCAAGCTGTAAGAATAATTACAGCCACAGTAATATTTGACAGAATTTTTGTATCTGATAATCCTGGATATTGGATAGCATCTAATAAATCAGTATAGCTTGTGTTCATCAAAAAGAAAATATTCGATTCAGGTTCCCAAAGGAAACTTGATTTGGACTCAAAATTGAAAAATAACGCCAAGGTAATACGTAGAAACAAATTGTTTTCATTAGGAGAAACCTGAAATCAATTTATGTATTTGAATCCAAAATCTGCCCCAGGTGGCGTTTTTTAAGTTCCTAAGAGTGTGCCAAGCCAAACTTAGCTCCTTTTGAGGCTTTTGCTATTTTTTCCCCTTTGCCCTGCTTTGCCTTTAGTTTATCTGCTATACTGAGTACTGTCGATACTAATCTAGAAGACTCAGTTTCTTTTATTATTAACCTCAGTTTTAATGTCTTTTTCATTTTCACTTTATACTGTATTTTTCTTGGTGCTATTTGAGTACCTCCACAGTTGCAGTCACTTGAACATCTTTCATAAAAACATTACCATCTATTCATGGGGATACTTTTAAGTCCGCTAAGCTTGCATCGTTTTGATCCACTTATGTTGTAAGCCTTTAGCCGTATTTTTACTGAGAAGACTTACTTATCATCTCACAGGCTGAGGGGTGATCATGCTGACCAGAGCTCTCCACACTTCTGAACTATTTGTTTGTACTAATCAGATAGGGAAGCCTGAAGCTCCCCACCCCTCAAATGCACACAGAACAAAACTAGGTATTAGTCACTAAGTCATCTCTCTTGCCACCAGAAGTAGTAGACTCCCATTAGGATAGATGAATTGTTAGGTCTCAAAGAATTGGATGCCAAGAGTTAACATAAAGAACTATGTAATCTTTCTTTGATTCAGAAAACGTTTCAGAAAGCCAAAGTGCCATTCAGGCTTCACTTTGGATATCGATTTTCATTAAATTGTTCTGAAGAAAATTTTTCTATACTGGAGCTGTCCATCAGTAGTTTACTGAAAAGAAGCAACAACCATAGATTCTGTGTGCATTGAGTTCACTGACCCTGTTGTTGTTACTGAGTGACATCGAGTCCATTCCAACTCATAGTGACCCCATGTCACAGAGTAGAACTACCCCATAGGGTTTCCTATGCTGTAATCCTTATGGGAGCAAATTGCCAGGCCTGGTAGGGGCTGGTAGGTTCGAACCACCAACCTTTTCATTATCAGTGGATCTCTTAAGCACTGTGCCGCCAGAGCTCCTTTCACTGACCGTATGGGAAGTGAATTCATCTTAGGATCTTTGTTAAGACCTTTATTTTAAATTGTTTAGCCCAGAGTTACCACTACTATTAGCCAACAACAAGGGATATTAAAGTTTCTATACAAGTTATAATATAAGTTAATGATGTATTTTTCAATATTGGGTTGTTTTCAAAATAGATAATATTATGTAAGGAGCCATGGGGCGCAGTGGTTAAGCCCTTGGCTGCTAACTGAAAGGTCGGTAGCCCACCAGCCGCGCCACAGGAGAAAGATGTGGCCGTCTGCTTCTGGAAAGCTTACAGCCTTGGAAGCCCTGTGGGGCAGTTCTACTCTGTCCTGCAGGGTCGCTACGAGTTGGAATCGACTCGATGGCAATGGGGTGGAACATTGTGTAGAATCCTAAGATAAATATTAATAAAAATAAAAAAACTTTCTTAGAAAAAATGCAGAAATGTAAAGTCTTCCGGATTTCCTTTCATTGTCCTTTTTTAATGGACTTAAACATGGGAATCCAGCTAATGAGAAAACTGTTCATCTCTAGAAAAGTCTACATTGTGGGACTGGGGGCTGGGAGTGGGTCTTAAAGTCTTTGCTGAAGTTAAATGTGCAACACTACTTCAAAGCAGATGCCTTTTTTTTCTCTTTACTGTCAAACATTTTGCACAATTAAAAGAAGAGAAGTACTGTACTAGTTAAAGTTAGTAATTTATGAAGACTATTAGCCAAGCTTGAGTAAAGCAGTAGTCTTACAGCAGGAGACTCTTGTTTTATCTGAGTTAGCTTTTTGACAGATGCCTAAAACAGTTCAGAAAAGCCTTCGATTTTAAAAATGTACTTTGTTTTGTACAATTTACTTCTCCAGCTAAAACATCTGCCTGTCTCTTCAGTGAAATCACTGGCAAACATCATCCTTTTCGTATTAGATTCATTTTCTTGTATTGATTCATCTAATGTTTTTCTCATGTTTTTGTATGTTCTTTTCTGTGAAATTTCTAATTTTACTTGTTTTACCTTTTGTTGAATATTGGTTGTCATAAACATTCCAGAGTAAAAATCTAATTTTTTTTTTTAATCTGGGGCATCTAGGAATCTGACTGTAATTTTAAGTCACATGATAATCAAGATTATCAAAGCTCCAAGCTGCATTTATCTCATTTTTCAAAAAAAGACAAGCTTCGAAGGAACAAGGTAAAACGTTTATTTTAAAAAATTGTTCTTTTAATTTCAGAAATAATGCTTGCTTGTGATTAAAAAAAAGTGAGAAATATAAGCAAAATTAAAATACAGGTAGTCCCAGACTTAGGACATATTCGAGTACGACAAATCGCACCTAAACCGCCCGTTTGCGGGGGAGTGGGGGGGGGGGGCAGGGTGCGTCTTATCGTTAGTAATATGTTGCAGCACATGATTTGCTAATGTTATCATTCTTAGATGTTCACTCACAGATGTTCAGTTTTATGGTTTACTGTTCTAAACACTACCAGATTTACACAGATACTGATAGTAAAAGGAATAATAATGAAAACTAAAAAAATGAGGTATTTGTCTTATGTCTGAACCAACTTACAATGGAATCGTTGGAATGGAACCCCATCGTAAGCTGGGGACTACCTGTACCTTTATTCTTATTTATGGGAGTCCCTGGGTGGTGTGAATGGTTAGCATGCTTGCTGCTAACCGAAAGGATGGTGGTTCAAATACACCCAGAGGCTCCTTCGAAGAAAGGCCTGGCGATCTACTTCCAAAAAATCAGCCATTAAAAATCCTGCAGAACACACTTCTACTCTGGCACACATGGGGCCTCCACGAGTCGGAATCAACTCGACAGCAACTTGTTTGGGTGGTTTTTTTTAATTCTTACTTACACAAAAACGACCGTTTTCAAACCTTCTAGAACCATGTTTGTGTGTGATTGTATTGTAGGTGTTTAAGTTACGAAACCTGCCATTTCTTTTGCAGTGTATATTAACAATTTTTCCCATGTACTTATATAACTCCTTGTAAACCAAAAACCTATTGCTGTCAAGTTGATTCTGACTCACAGTGACCCTGTAGGACAGCATAGAACTACCCCATAGGGTTTCCAAGGAGTGGCTGGTGGATTCAAACTGCTGACCTTTTGGTTAGCATCTGAGCTCTTAACTACAACACCACCAGAGCTCCATAATTACTTATAGTGGCTATATAATATGCCATTGTATGGTTTAGCTAATTCCCTTATGTTTGGCATTTACCTTTTAAAATTTTTGCTATAGCAAACAGTATTGCAACCACAATCTTGTGACCAAATATTTGAGTATGGCTTCTTATTTCCTAGAGATGAATTTAATGTAGTGACATTACCGGTTCAAAGGCATGTCTGATTTAAGTCTTTGATTAGGTATTCCCAAAAGGCTTTCTAGAAACTATGTCCTCATAATAAGCCAGTTTTTTGTTTTTTTTTTTTTAATTGTACTTCAGGTGAAGGCTTACAGAACAAAAAAGTTCCCAAGAAAA